GAAGCCCGATGGGTGAGAGAACAGAGGAGAGGAAGGCGGAAAAAAGGCAGGTCGAGAGAACAGGGGAGAGAAAGGCGGAAGAGAGGCAGGTCGAGAGAACAGAGGAGAGGAAGGCGGAAGAAAGGCAGGTCGAGAGAACAGAGGAGAGAAAGGCGGAAAAAAGGCAGGTCGAGAGAACAGAGGAGAGAAAGGCGGAAGAAAGGCAGGTCGAGAGAACAGAGGAGAGAAAGGCAGGTCGACAGAACAGAGGAGAGAAAGGCAGGTCGACAGAACAGAGGAGAGAAAGGCGGAAGAGAGGCAGGTTGCGCCGAGCGGACCTGACATCAGGTGTGGGAGTGGGTGAGATTCTATTGGGCAATAACAGCAGTGGAGGAGTTTGTTATTTTTTCTGTGTCAGGAAAGTATAGGAAAGAAATACCCAATAGTCAAGGCACTTATCTCTATGTTGTACAAAATGACTCACAAAGAAGATTGTTCCTTTTGTCACAGCAGCCACATCTTGTTAATAGTAGGAAAAATACAAAAGCTTGTTGAAGTGAAAAGATGCAGAAAGAAAGAGAAAGAAATAGTTTCCTGTGAGATGCAGGTGTCCTTTCCAAGGACAAACAGACACACCACTTCCGTCCCGTGAGAGCCTTCCTTCTCATTTTCTTTTCTGTCCTCCCACTCCTGCACTGACTTCCTCCATTGTTCCTCACGTCTTTTCTCAACTTATTTGTTTCTTTGTATCCAATATGTTGAGGGAAAGGTGAATGAGAAGGTGATGTTTAGACTGCAGTGCTTACAAGGAAAAACAAATCAAAAGCAGCATCAGAGAAGTTTTCAAAGAACCTGAAAAACATTTTGTGTTCTTGATATGTAATACAGATACAGCATTTTTAATGTAAAGTGCCCAAATTTGCCATCACACAATATTTCTGCATACCTTGGCACTCATGCCGTTGCTTCTGTCAGCAGTGAAGCAGCTGTGCATGCCAATGTCATAACAGAACCAGCACCACGTTGGACTGATGAGCTGCTGTACTTTGGCTCACGTGCCTTTTTTCCTCAACATATTTTAACCAGTTTTGTCAGAGAAAATCAAATCCTAACCTAATGAATGGAACTGAATTATATGCTGAAAACAAGAGAAAGAAAACCTATGCTTTTTACTTGTTGAAAAGTTATTGGATTTTATCATCTTTTAATCATTTTAGACAAAGTCCAACAGCACCCAAGTCCATGCTTGTTGGGTCTCCTGCCACAGGTTTGTTAAACCGCAGTCATTCATTCCACAAGGTAAGACCTGCTTTATCATTTATTAACCTAGATGCTCTCTAGTAATTGAATATTGTGTGTCTAAGTGTGTTGTAAGGTAACATTGCTTGTGGCCTAAAGGTAGCATTAACCACGGTCTGTGTGGATTTAGGTGCAACAGTTTTCCTACTGTTTCCTGACCTCAACCCAGAAGCCAGGCCACACCAGCAGGTGAGAGCAGAGGGGCTAAAGAATGAGTATGAATGTAGTAGAAGAAATATTTGAGGAAATAAAAGCATATCTCATGTAGTAACCACCAGCGTTCATATCCTGACAGTGATGCCAGCACAATGAAGGAAGTAAAGACAGCTGCATTAATTGAGAACTAAGCTGAAAGTTAAAATTGGTTCTTTGCAGACTCTCAGTGACTTTTGTATGTGTGTGCAAAGTGAGTCTAAAATATAGACACTGTTAGAAGGAAGGCACAGGACATTACATCATCTCACAAAACCGAATGTTGTTGCAGATGCTGTCTCAATGACACTGGTCATAATGATGGTAGTGGCCACAGGTCTCCTGCCTGGTCTGAGTCCAACCTGCAGTCCACCTGACTCGCCCCTCTCCTGGATTCAGTGGGGGACACAGCTTCACAGGTGTGCCTAAATACAT